TTCCTCCCGCCTTGGGGAGGGGGGGTCCCTCTGTGTGAGGCACCCCCAGTGCTGGGTGTATTAATTTTTTACTAAATGACTTTCAGGTTTGTTACAACTGGGGGCTTTGCTGCCCCCTCTGTTGTTTCTTCCTGCCTTAAGGGAGGGTTTGGCTGGGTGGAAACGGGAATCTCAGCGGGGTGAGATTATTTTTGGGGTGGGAAGGACTGTGACAGCACCTTGTCCTCTGCGGGGCAGTCCCATGCTAGGGGCTCCCCTGTGAGGATGTGGGGGTTCCCCTGCAAGAGGAGCCTCTGTTTTTGGGGCTCCCCTTTAGGGTGCCTTTTTGGGGCTTCCCTCCCTGCTGGGGACCCTCTCCATGGGGCATCTGAAATGGGGCCAGGGCCAGGGCATAGCCCAAGCCCCTTAGCTCAGTTCAGCCTCTTCCTCGTCTTTCCCGGTGTCCAGGCTGCTCTCCTGGAAGAAGCTGCTCCCATCGGGCAGCCCTTTCCCCACTCACCCACTTTGAGGAAGGTCTTGAGCTCCAAGGGCCGGATCGCCGGCTGCTTCTCCAGGCGCCCGTACGTCTCGGCGATGTTCTCCACTTCCACCTTGGGGCACTTGAACAGCTCGTACGTCCCGTCCCGGTTCTGGATGAAGCTGCGCGTGATTTCCAGAGGCATCTGGAAACGGGAGGAAGGTGCTGAGGAGCTCAGGGCCCGGCCTGCTGGGAGCCAGATCCCCGTGCCGAGGCAGAGCCTCCCCCAAGGGGGTTGTAAGGCTGGAAAGGGTTAGCGGGAGCCCCACGGGTGCAGCGGGGTGCAGGGTGGCCTCACCTCGGGCGTATCGAAGATCTGTTTGACCTGCAGGATGTTGGTGATGTGCCAGGTGTACTTGGAGAACGTCCCCAAGGGAAGGGCGTCTTTGCGGACAAAAGCTGAGGAAAAAAAAAAAGGCAACTCAGGGTCACGGCGTGGGGCGGATTCCATCTGCCCAGAGCTCCTGTGAAGGTGGATCATGTTTGTCCAGGGCTTTGCTATTTTTTTTTTTTCCCCTCCCCCTTTCCCCTTCCTTTTTTCTCTGCTTCAGCTGCAGGCTTGAGCCCCTACTTGCTTGGCTCTTGGATAAAGTAAATCCTTCCTTGCCCTCTTGGAAACCTCTCCTTGGCCTCTGCCAGCTCATGAATTTTGAGTTACCTGGAGAGCAGGGCACTAACTGGATCAGTGCCAGGGCTCCTGAAGCCCAACTGCTGCTGCAGCCCATGCTCCTGGCACACTCCTGTGCTGCCCTGAACCTCTCTGAGAGGCTGTGCTTTACTCTAAGGAGTTGCTTTAAACATCACGCAGACTTGGGGGCTTCAGTTTGAAGCACCAAGGCACCTTGCTAGGGTCAAGGGCTGTGTCAGAGCCCCAGGCAGCTCTGGGCAGACGACAGCAAAACCCCAAGCTCCACAGCCTCCTGCAGGACACCGACACTGCCCTCAGCGCCCAGAAAACCCAGATTGGCTACAGCACCAAGCTCCAACTTGCAGGAGCATTTAGGCTGAAGCAATTCGCTCCTACCCACACACAGCAGAGGCTGCATGTCCTTAATTCAGCAGCACCCACCCCAGGGGGGGCCATTCCTACAGCCACTGCCCTCTTCTAGCTATTTTTTCATGAAGACAGTGTGTGGAAAAGGAGGCAGCTGGGGAGCTTGTTCCTTTTTTGTCTCTCTTGCTGCTCTAGGAGCATCCTGGTTGCTCTGTACCAGCTGGGTCCCATCCTACCCGTGGTGGAGTTGGGCAGCCTCTTCTTCGTGCTCCCCATGGAGATGCGCTGCTGCAGCGCGTCGAAGAACGCTTGAGGGATGTGGAACACCAGCGGCTCCGGCTTGCCTAGGAGGGCACAGACAAGGGACGGGGCTGAGGCGAGAGCCTGTGTTCAGCAGACATCTACACAGACATCTCCTACTGCTTTTATCCTCGCCCACCCCCTTCCAGGTGGTCCCAGCGCAGCCAGGCCGAGCTTATCCCTAAGGTGGGACCGGGAATTCTGCAGGCTGGAAGCACAGGGAGCTGCTGCTTGGCAAGGGGGCCACTCTACATGTCTTTAAGCGAGCAGAGGACTAACGCTGCTGCGTGGCTACCAGCAGCAGGTGGAGGGCAGGTTTAGCTTAGGTTTAAGAGCATCATTGCACAAAGAACGCTGATGTGAGGCTGGGAGAGTCTTAGAAAGCCTGAAATGAGATAGTCCCTCCCTTGTTTTCTAGCATTTCTGTCCTTGTATTAAGGGGAGACCAGCTGAACTATGGCACTGAGCTGCTGCTGGGAGTGCTGAGCTCCCCAGTTACATCCCAGTAAAGGAAATGACAAAATCTGCCTCTAGATGTTCAGGGTGTTATAAAAATGAATTACTCACAGCTCTTGTTAAAGCTAGTTTCCTCAGCTATAGCCAGGTGTCGGGACCCAGAGGTGCTACGGGAGGATCTTTTTATGTTAGGATCAAAACAACTTACACCATAATTAACTTGTAGCTACTTATTATAAGTACAATAAAAGAAACACAACTCGACAGGTGTCCAAACTCCTGGTTTCTTATCTAAACATGATACGTTTCCTTTACCTACTTTATCTTCTTCCAGTGCACTCGTGGCCTCGGTGCACCACACTCGTTATTTTTTTATTACCATCCTTGCACTCCACGTGTGCCTTGGCACTGCTACAGCACTTGTTCGTTAAGGGTTCCCATCCAATTTCAAACCTTGGGCTAACTAACAATACCCAAATACAGTAATTCACTAATAATTAAGCCATCCAATGACTAAGCACCCATCTCTGAAGTCACTGGGGTAGGCTGGCACCTGCAGGAGTCATGTGCTGCCACTCAGCACAGGGGATTTGAACTCCCCCAGGTTTTAGATGCAGAAGGCAACACCATGTGAGGTGTCTCACCTCACCTCACCTCTCCTGGGCTGCTCCAGCCAGTTTCTTCAGCATAAATAAGCTCCAAGGCAGTTTCTCCCTTCCCCAAGCATAAGCATCAGCACTAGGTTTATGATAAGAGTTAAGCCTAAGCTTAAGGAATGAATCAAAGCTGACAGAAACTTCCCAGGGCAAATTAATAGTTGCTTTAACCAAGGTAAGCGCGTGCTCCCCTTTGGGCTAACAGTTATTTAATGCTGCCAAGAGCTTGTCTGTTAAATACTGAGGTTGCACTGGGAATGAAATTGTGCCTGGGGCTCTTGGAAGGTGGTCCCCACGAAGACTTACCCTCAAACTGGTAATGCATGGTTTGATGGATACGTTCGGTGACGCTGGCCAGCCATTCTTGGAAGGACAGGGTCACCTGTGACTCATCCAGCAGCTGATTACAGCCTAAAAGGAAAAGGAAGCTGAAACCAGAACCTGCAACTCACCCAAGCGAGGAGCAAAGACACAAAGGAAAAAAAATAACTCAGACAATCCCAATCCAGACATGCTGCTGCACTGGCAGAGGCAGTGGGTCTGGGTAAATGTCTGTATGGAGTCAAGTATTTTCCATTTTACATTCACTAGTTTCCCAGTGTGGAGACATGGTGACCCCTGTAAAACTGCAGCGTTACAAAAGAACATTTCTGTCCTCCTGATGGATCAGAAATGACTTTATTTGGCATCTCACTCCCAGGACTCAGAAATACAGAGCTATTTTAAAAGTAGAAGTCTGCGGGGATCCATTGGCACACACCAAACTCCACCATGATTTCAGTAACAGCTACAGTCCTGGCGCCACAATACAATAATTACTCTGTTTATTATGGAGCAGTTGCCATAGAAACCTGCTGTGGCCTTTGCGGGTGCTAAGGAAGCCCAAACCACTCCCTGAAGAGCACGCAGGCATTCCCAGGAGCAAAGCATGTGCTCACGCTCTGCACGACAAGATCCCCTCCGAGCAGCTCAGGAACACACACCTGCACACATCCTTCTCCTCTGAGATAACAGTTATTATATACGTGCACTTCAAAAGCTCCTAGGGCAGCCAGTTACCCACGTTGACATCTCATTTACCTCTGGCACGCTCCCCAGGGTTCCTGAATACATATTTGCTACCATAAAATACACCTCTGATAATTCCAGCCAGGATGTGTCTCCCCCAATAGCTTGGGTGTTAAGGATACTACAAGAGAGTGGCAAAAGAGCAACAGTTGGATTTGCTACCATGCCCGATCTAAGCCACCTGCTCAGTTCTGCCTAGGAAAACATATAACTGCATTAGAATCATAGAATCATAGAATGCTTAGGGTTGGAAGGGACCTCTAGGGATCATCCAGTCCAACACCTGCACACGCAGGGTCACCTAGAGCACGTGGCACAGGGCTGCGTCCAAGCGGGTTTGAAGATCTCCAGAGAAGGAGACTCCACAACCTCTCTGGCCACGCGGTTTTGAGGTACTTCCTAGACACGGCTCAGGTCCCTCTCAGCCTTCTCTTCTCCAGCTGAACAGGCCCAGCTCCCTCAGCCTCTCCTCATAGGGCAGATGTTCCAGGCCCCTGATCATCCTCGTAGCCCTGCGCTGGCCTCTCTCCAGCAGCTCCACATCCCTCTTGTCCTGTGGAGCCCAGAACTGGACACAATACTGCAGAGGTGGATATAATTTTGACACCTGCCTGCTTGTCCCTGGCAGTGACATCCCCGTGTGAGGCGCCCGCAGGGACGAGCCTACCTGGCCTCTTCAGCGACGCCACCACGGCCGGCTTTTTCAGGCTGCTTTTCCTCAGGCTGCTGTTGGCTGCCTCCAGAGCCAGGAGAGGGCTGTTCCCCTGCGTACCTGGGGTTCGAGCCGGGAGGGTTTCAGCGCCCTCGCAGCCCGTGTGCCTCCCGCAAACCCCCTCACGCGCCAGCTTCACCCTCCCCTCCGTGCCCGGGTGGGAGGGAGAGACTTTCCAGCTTGCCACCACCCAAAAGGACCATGAAAAGGCCCCGCTGCAGAAGCCTGGCCCTGCGTAGGGCCTGTCACAAGGCTTGCAGCCCGGCAGCAGGCAGGGCACAAGGCTACAGCGCCGCGAGCCGGCCCGACGGCGGCTTTTCACACAGAATCACGGAATCACAGAGTGGTTGAGGTTGGCAGGGACCTCTGGAGATCATCCAGTCCAACCCCCCTGCTCGAGCAAGGTCACGCCAAGCATGTTGTGCAGGACCACGTCCAGGTGGGTTTCGATTAACAGGGAGGGGAAAGACCATCCGTGCAACCATTTTCCTTCTGGAAACACCCAGCTGGGCACGGAGGCGAGCGGCAGCGCTGCCCCCCGGGCACTCACCAGATGCTCCCTCCTTTTTCCTCTTCTTGGGCTTGGGAGCGGCAGCCCCCGCCGGGGGGGGCG